TTTGGACAAAGTTCAAATTCATTTGCTAACTCAAATTTAAGAGAAGACATAAACAGTGTTGCAAAAATCGCGCCTAGGCGCTAGGCGGTCCCCAGGCGCCTAGCGATTTTTTCAACATTGGACATAAACCTAATGACTAAAAAAAACAATACAATATATTGAGGTATACATATGTGAATTGCTGGACATGGTTACCTCATTTGAAATGTCAAATACTCCATCCAGTATTTTCTTATATATTGTTGAAGATGTTCTGATAAATGCCTGCAAGAAGACAATAAAAACAAAAGCAATGCATCCAAAATTCAGTTTGGCATGAACATAAACAGTAGCATAAATGAATCATAGTGATAAGTTCAAAAAACTATCGGTGGCTGTGTAAAAGACTTCATTCACCTCCTCCACATTCTGTGCTGTTTTGGCAGAAGCCTCCATAAATATCAAACCATGTTCCTTGGCGAACTGTTCACCTTCCTCTGTGCTTACAGCTCTTCTATGAGCAAGGTCACACTTGTTCCCAATCAGCATTATGGTCATGTTTGCATTTGCATGCTGTCTTGCATCTTCTAACCAACTAGCTAGGTGATTAAAAGTTTCCCTCCTAATAAATTAAAATTTAATAATAAATCGTCAAAGAGTTAAAGATGGGAGAGTGAAATAAACTACAAAAAAGAAGAAAAATAAGTTGAAACTAGAGAGAAATACTATATATATTTATAAAATACAAAAATTGTTATCTATTTATCAAAAATTTGGTTGGCAATGGCATTGGGATACAATTGAAACCAATGTCATACATTCAAGATCAAATTGAAAATACTAAAACAGTTGGGATTAGTTGAAACCAAGCTGTATACATCTGGGGCCAGCAGTGAAATTTACACATCAAAAGCTTATTACTGATGAAAGGTCAGATCAATAGACCATTCTGCAAATTTTAGCATTTACTTTAAAGATACATTAGCTGCGTGGTTAACTGACAACTCAGTACATAGATCCACTGAACCATGCTCAAAAAATTACAGCACTTAATTATCCAAGCAAAAATGAATTTAAAGTATAGAAGCTATTTGAAAAACTCTAAAAGAAACAGCTCAGATCTATACCACAAAAAAAAAAAAAAAAAAAAAAAACTGGAGCAATTAGATCACAACTTAAAAAATCCATCGACAATTATACTCTTTGTCCCATTTTCTAGGTCTTGTTCAAATAATTAGAATTGACTCAAATTATTAAAAAATTAAACTTTAGGTCATATTTAATTTAGTAAATAAAATTCACATATTTAAGAAGTATACTAGAAGTTCTAATGTTCTATTAAACACCAAAAGCAAAATTTGAAAATTGGAAGAAATTGTTAGAAAAAATAAGCGCAAAAAAAGTTGGTTTCATGACTTTCATCTATGAATAGTAAATAGGGTATATAAAATGTGATGGAGAAAGTACCTTGTAATATCATAAACAAGTAGTGCACCAGCAGCACCACGATAATAAGACCTTGTAATAGATCTAAAAGATTCTTGACCAGCCTGAGATGGCAGACAATAAGTGTAATCAAAACTTCATACATTGGCAACAACAAAAAAATGGAGGAAACTACAAAAGAACATTCAATCCAATGGAAGAAATCAAAATTTTGGCTGCAAAGAACATATTATATTCCTAAACACCAAAATGTGAAAAAGTAAAAAAGACAGGAGATAGAAGCTAACCGTGTCCCAAATCTGCAGTTTTATTGGCTTGTTGTCTATTGTAATCATTCTAGCACCAAATTCGACACCAATTGTCAAATCATGTACAGGTTGAAACCGTTTGTCAGTAAATTGCAAAAGAAGACATGATTTTCCAACTCCTGTACAACAAAATATATTCACATTATTGTACTTTATATAAGGCTTGTCCAGTCTACCTACATGCATATCTGGGCATACGTGCCTCAGTGCCTGTATATTTGTTGAACAGAAGGCATGTGTTATCAAGAAAATGAAACCTAAAACATATATGCAAATATATATTCCGTCAAGAAAGACTAAAGAAGCATGGAGTATATTTTAAAAATTAGTCAAAGTTGAGTTGACCCTTGAGAAGTGAAACACAACTGGGAGTACAATATATACACTACACTTTTAAGAGGCACAATCACAACCAAGCAGATGGAAGTCTTGCAATCAAACCCCATTTGCAGGTTCCTATTGATCTTTCTCCAAAAATCCCATTTGCTATTGCACAGGATACCTTTTTTTAGCTTTTAGGATCTAGTTCCTAGTTCAAAATCCCCCTTACTAACTGGAATCAAAGATTCATAGGTCAATAAAATGGGCTAGGGTTATGAACTCATAATCTGATGATTGTGTTGACTCCATGATTATATGTTCATTCCATACCGGACCGGGTCGGAATAGGGTTATTCTCATTATGAGAAAGGGCCATGTGAGCATATCTAAATAGATACTATGTTTCTGTATGGATTCCTATGTTGTTACATCCCATTTAGGATCAGGAATAAACGTAACTAGACCTATTGTTTACATATCTCTCTTAGAACCCTATTCACCTCTTTGAGTGAATGGATAAATAGTTTGATTGTCCTTTTTTCTTTTTTATATATACAGATAAGGCATTCTAAGGATAAGCAATTGGATGCCCAACTCAGGCCTATATGATGCGACTGATCTATAGAAAGACTCCACCTTTGTCATATATTCCATAAATTACACTAGATGATATCGCAGTCATGGAATATGATTCACTTTCAATATGCCTGGGTGGTGAAATGGTTGGCACACAAGACTCAAAATCTCGTGCTATAAAATTTGGAGGTTCGAGTCCTCTTCAAGGCATAATTTGAGAATGCTCATTAAATGAGCAACGCAATGAGAGCTCAGATCGAATTGGTATATCAATACTTATCCGACCAATCTGAGCTCATGGAAGAAATTTGGCAGCAGATCACGAAATTTTGGTAATCTCATCTATTTAATGATTTTGTTTATCTCTATTTAATGAATGGGGAGTCTACTTTCAAATTTAAAATCATGTGTGTATAACATAAATAAATTGAAGTTACACATATGTTACCTATAAAATCAAAATCAAATTTTATCAAAGGGTTTGAACTCTATTCAATGAAAAAACTTTTGTCAATTACGTTACAGAGTCAAAATGAACCAGCTTCATGAACCTTGAGAAAAGACAAAGGAGTATATACCACTACTTTCATAAAAGGAAAAATCAACTTTCCTTGGCTGCAGGAAATTCAAATTTAAAAAAAAAAAAAGAAAAAAAAAAAAGAAAAAAAAAAACCCTTAAATCCCACTTTCATTTTTCACATTAACTAGAAACTTCGGGGAAGGATAGAAATCTTTTAATTTCCCTTTGATACCACGATTATGTGGATCCAAGTTACTTAGGTGATAAGGCAGGGGGTTTGAAAGAGTCTCTTTGACTCAAACTGCATATGCTATTATATCCATGAACTAAAACTACTCTACATTGAAAATCTAGGAAAATTCTAATACGATATCTTACACACTAAGAAACCAAACTGAAAAAGGAACTAGGTCCGAACTCAAATTCCAGCATTAAAAGTTCATCCAGTCATGTTTATGTCAACAGAATTGATAAATTATACATTAAAAAAAAAAAAAAAATAGCATGATTGAGAAACAGCCGCAGACAGTTAATTCAGGGTTAACTTACAGAAGAAAACTGTGAAGCCAGAAATAAGATTATAAATCAGATAAAGCGGAGATATAAAGATTACCAGTGTCCCCGATGATGATGTACTTGAAAAGGTATGCGTACGACATCGTTTGGGTTTACCGGAGAGACGGAAGGATCTGGACGAAAGGAAACCGATCACTATCTGTTCTGGAGGGGTATAAAAATATACAGATATATATGTATATATATACACACACCAGAGAGAGAAAGAGAGAAAGAGAGAGAGAGAGAGAGAGAGATGCTTACGAATGTGGAAAGAGTGTACAACACGAAGTCAGCCTGAAGCAGTGTAGAAATCTCGAAGAAATACAGTCACGGGCCACGGAATGATAGGGAAAGGGTTAAGGCCCAGCCGCCCAGGCCCATACAAGTTCGTTTTTTGTATGGATTAGTCGACAATTCATGTTATTTCTATTAAATCCTCAATTTTAAAAATTTTAAACAATTTGATCATTTATTTGTTTAACCGTAAGATATCTGTTTACTCGGAACCAATGACCAAATTGATAAAACTATCAATATAAATCTTACAATGATGACCATTACAACCGTTACAATACTTAATTACAATTTAAGAATTCTCATAACTTGCACCATTATTTCATTTTCTAAATGAAAAATGTTAGTCATTTCATTGTTCCCAAGTTTGGCATTGTAAGTTCTTCAAATGCTCCAACATACATCTGGTTTACCATTCATAAAAATTTAATTAAAATATAATTAATAATTAAATTAATTATATAATAATTTTAATAAAATAATAATTAAATAACAAAAAAAGATATAATAGATATAGGTATATGAGAATAATGATGAAGTCATCAATGTTAGAATCAAATTATAACGGTGTAAATATAATTTTGTTTAACAAAAATATATATAGTAGGAACAATTTTGACCAATAAAATTGAAGTGTATAACATTTAAAATAAAAATGCATACCTTTATTAGCATACGAAAATCAAACATATATAAATTAAGGATATAACTTGAATTAATACTTATTATGTTTTTAGATATATTATATTAAAAATTGCCATCTCAATTATGCTTTTAATAGTAATATAATGTTGAGACTGATTATCCAACCATTGCTTAGCCGCCACTACATTGTTGTAACTTGTAATATAAAACAGGTGAATTCTAAACACAATTCTAAATAAACAATATGCGTAAAATTGATTAAGTTAAGTTTTACATTTTTAAAAAAGTCTAATAATCAAACTAAGAAAATCACAAACTCAAATTATTTACAAGTTATGTTTCCACAGATTACATAGCTACAGTCATCTTATTTTTAAAATATTTGCTTTTTCATAGGCTTGTCGTTCCAAAAATTAAAACAAGACTTACTATTATCAATGTCGCTTTGGCCGAGTGGTTAAGGCGTGTGCCTGCTAAGTACATGAGTTTCTCCGCGAGAGTTCAAATTTCTCAGGCGATGACAAAATAATAATAAAAAAAAAAATCTGACTTTTAATCAACACCCAAAGAGAAGAAAGTCCCAATTGTAGACCAAACATGCATGGACATATATACCGAATGCTTATTGATTGGATTTTATGTACTAAGCTAGTGGGTGGGTGAGAATCTTGAAATGGGGGGGGGTAAGGAAGTGCAAATGAAGTAGTTGTGACGGTTTGTGGTGTTGGCGTCTCCGCCTTCTTATCAGCCGCGGGGCCGACGCTTAAAATCTGCGCCTGCGCAAACATCTTCCTCAGCAGGCATATCAGAACCACCGGGTCGAAGTAGCCGAAGACCTCTAACTGCGCCTTCTCCGCCGCCGCTTCAATAGATACGGAAGAAACTCCTGGAACACAACCAAAACTTCCAATTACATCCATAATTCAGATTGTATAAAGTCAACATTTATTACCCAAACATTGAGTACATCACTACAACCATAAATTCATTGAATAAAACATATATATCGAAATTCGAAAATGACACTCTTTTTCACTTAATTACAACGACTTTCTCATTGAATTATTTATGTATTTACATTATCCCTTCAATTATTTTAAAAGTGACAAAATTCCTCTCTTTTTACTTAAATAAACATTTTTACCCTTAAAATTAAATATATATTCAATTTTCTTCTCTAACAAATTATATTGTTTATATATAACCGAACAAAAACAATAGAAACGGTCCTTATTACTGTTCAGAACCAGAATCGCCAGTGTCCGTTCCAAATTAATAAAAAAGAATAATAATCGTTGAATTTGAAGTATTTTAAGCTAGTATCATTAATATTATAATTATAATTAATTAGTATTAATTGATTTTTTTTTTTTTTGTGTTTAAGTCTTAATTATGTTAAGAACATTAACTTAAAAGTATAATTATAATATTTACAAATAGTGTATATTATATGTGTTTAAATTTTAATTATGTTACTGACACTAACTTAAAATTATAATTATAATATTTGAAAATGATGTGTGTGTGTGTTTTTTTTTATGACTTTAATATATAGGTAATAATAATTTGTTAGGGAAGAAAAATAAATAAATAACTTATTTTTAAGAGTAAAAATGTTCATTTAATATAAAGAGGAAAAATTCACTTTTAAAATAATTAAGAAGGTTAAAGGTAGATACATGAATAATTTAGGGAAAAAACACTATATACATATAATTTAAAGAGGAAAAATTGTCCTTTCCCCCAATTCATATTTCAATAATCAGTAAGAATATTCAATTAAGCCTAACACAATAATGCGTAAAATTACACATTCTCCTAATTAAATTCTTCTCCTTCCAAATACTATCCATGAGCTAAATTTATGCAGGCATATTCTTCAAAATTCTATTTTATTTTTTATTCTTTTCTTATTAGGTGGCTTATTGTAAGTGCAAGCTCAATAATGATATTTTTTTCAAAGTTTTTTTTAGACCAAGTAGGAGAGTGAAAACCAAATAAACAGAGGGCTTTCGTCCTCACAAGACTACTCATCTTGGCGGTCAAAAGCACGCCCGAAGATTCAGTCCCAAAAATTCTCCGATTTCTAGAGAGAGGAGAGACCTCTCTAGAGTACCAAGAGATCGAAGAATAAATTTTGAGAATAGATTGAATGTAATTAATTTCCCGAAATATATATATATGTGTGTGTTACTGGCCGGGAAATTGTAAGATAGTGGATACCTGAGAGGCTAACTGCAATCTTGAAGGCCTTGGTACGAGCCTTCTGGTCCTTCATAGAGATGCCAATCACTAGCTTTTGCTGCAAATTAAATGAACAAAATAGAAAAAGGTCATCAAACCGTTAATTCAAGCACCAAAATTTCATGTAAAAATAATAATAAAATAAACTGTTACAAGTAGCAAGAAGTAGTAACTAGTAATAATATAATAGTGTATTTCTAGTTAACATGAAAGATGAGATCATATATACCTTCACCATTGCAGGGTAGTAGAGGGGTAAAGTGGCGAAGAATATGGAATTTAGAGGGAGAGAGAGAGAGAGAGAGAGAGAAAGTGCTTGGGACTTTGGGTGTTAGTTTAAGGATATCTATGGGGAAAACTTACTGGAGAGGGACGCGCAAACATAGGAAGTTGCCTAGAAAACTCGAAGAAGCGGGTATGTAAGTATTGTAACGTAATCCTTTAAAAAAGAAAGGGAAAAGGGGCAAACAGGCCCTCAAACTATTGCTCAAAAGTTAATTAGGTCCTCTAATTTTTTTAAGAAGCAATTACACCCATGAAGAATGTATTTTGATGCAATGAAGCCCAAATACAAGTAAATGACCTGCTATCTTAGGTTATTGTAAATTCGGCAACATTTCGATATATTTTCAGGCAAAAAAGTGACCGGCGAGGTCGCCGGTCACGGAGATCCCTCCCGGAGAAGGGCACCACAATGGTGGCCTTCTCGCTGGAGAAGGCAACCCAGAATGGTGGTTGCCTTCTCCGGGAGGGGTCTCCGTGACCGGTGACCGTTCGCCGGTCACTTTTTTGCCTGGAAATCTACCGAAATGTTGCCGGATTTGCAATGACTTAGGATAGCAGGTCATTTACCTGTATTTGAGCTTCATTGCATCAAAATACATTGTTCATGGGTGTAATTGCTTCTTTAAAAAGTTGGAGGGCCTAATTGACTTTTGAGCAATAGTTTGAGGGCCTATTTGACCCTTTTCCTAAAAAGAAATGTAAAATAAAATGCCAATTGTTTTTTTTTTTTTTTTTTTTTTTGAAAGCGAATACCAATTGTTGTAATTTTTGTGTACAGCTAATTCTCAAAATGATTTTCCGATTATTAAAATTTAAGTAAAAATGGTCATTCGTTAGTTTTGGCATGAAATAAGTGTCAAAATGAAAGGTAAAATTGGTAATTCAGATTTTGCACTCCAATTTAATGAATTTGCGATTCTCTTTTAGCAGCCTGCGCACGTTTTTCTTCAAATTATGTTTTTGCTCTCCTCAATCTGCGATCAAAATGTGGGATAATCAACTAGAAGGCCAAAAAAGTTCATCTTCAGATCAGCTACATCTACAAACTTCCCAAGGCAAAGATTTCACTATGAAGATGTTCATGTTCATTTTTGTCAGTGTGGCACGCAATGAAGCATCCAAACATCATGGATTAATGAAAATCACGGTCGGAGATTCTGAGCTTGTGGAGGAAGTAATGTTAGTCAAAATTGTTATCTTTTTATTTTTTATTTTTATTATTAATTTTACAGCATGTAATGTTATTATTAATTTTGATCGCAGATTGAGAAGAACAAAAATCTAATTTGAAGAAAAACATGCGCAAGTTAGGGAGTTGTTCTGTGACTATGATTTTTGCTTGTATATGTTCAGTGGATTTCTTTATCATACAGGAAGGTCAAACTCTAGGTCCTATCATTTCCTCATAAGGGTTTGAGACAAGGGGACCCCTGTCTCCTTATCTTTTCATATTAATCAGAGGGGTTGAGTGCTCTAATCAAGGAGTCCTTGGGGGTTTACATGGAGTTTCGGTGGTTAGAGCATCTCCAACCCTTCTATCTCTAAAACATCAAATTTTTTCAGGACATCAGAAGAAATATTCCCAGCATGCATATTCTCACACCAAATTTTATTCATCTCCAACCCATTTACACCAAAACACCAAATTTTTACACTAAAATAATTTAATTTCTCAATTATTAGTTCGAATATAATTAGTTTAATATAATTTAGTTCGAACTTAATTAGTTTAATATAAATTATAATTTATGATGTAAATAATAATTTTTATTAATAGTCATTGAAATAATTTACATTTCTTTCTAGTTTAATAGTCATTGAAATATGTCAAAAGCCTCACGTTCAATCCGAACTTCCTCATACTCAAATGAAGAAGATAAACTCCTTTGTACTATATTTATGGATATTGCCCAAGATCCTAAAAAGGGCAATGATTGCTCTGGAACAGATTTATGGGAACACATTACACAAGAATATGCTTGTATGCTACCAGCACACATTTGTACTGACCGAACTTCAAGATCGCTGCATAGTCGTTGGGCAATGATATCAACATCGGTCAGCAAACTAAGAGGATGCATTCAACAAATAGAGAACATGAACCCAAGTGGTGCATCTGAACAAGATATTGTGAGTATCTTGTAAATTTGTGTTATTTAGTTTTTTCTTATTTTTTGTTTTAATTGCGTTGTTTAATTTGAATTATATTTTATTTATAACAGCTTGATAGAGCAAAGGAGTTAGTAAAGCAAGATCCCAAATTCAAAGGTGGATTTAAGTTTGATCATGTATGGCCTATTGTCAAAGACATGCAGAAATTTTGCAGAACTGGAAGCTTGCTAAATGTTGGAGGTCGAAAAAGAACTTCTGAAGGATCACAATCACAATCTTTCGGAATCGAGAAGTCAATAGGCTCTTCCTCATTTCCTGTTGATTTGAATGATGATTTTGAATCTGATGAACATTGTAATGAAATGAACAATGTAGGTGAACGTCCTACGGGAAGGAAGAAGGAAAAGATGAAGCAAAAACTCTCGGATGAGCGCAATCAATTTATTGCCGCAATGGAACAACAAACTGCACAATTCAAAGGAATGTTTGAACACAATCATGAGCTACTCCAAAAACAATATGAGCTTGATTTGTTTAAAGCTCAAAATGCAGCGAACAAAATAACATTGGCAAAACAAAAAGAAGATAACAAAATCTTAAGAGTGAATTTAAATTTGATAGAAGATCCAGCTGTGCGTGAGTCGATTAGACGCCAACAACTACAAATTGTTGCAAAGAGAAATCAAGAGCATGGAGAAGGAGTTGAATCAAATCGTGAATTTGATCAATACTTTAACAATTTGGGAGGAAGTGGAGTTGACTAGGAAATTATTAATTTTATTATATATTTTTTTAAATTGTGTTTGCATTTTCTAATATTAATATTATGTCGTATGTATTTTAATTTGTATTATGTTCTAGTCATGTTTGATGTATCTCGTATGTATTTTAACTTTTATTATGTTCTAGTTATGTTTGATGTATTTGAAATTTTAATTAATATATATTCAATATTAGTCTTGTTTCGATCGTATTAATGAGATCTTTAAAATGGTATAATTTTTATTTAATAATACAAACTTTAAATATAAGTATTTAACAAAATAAAAAATTACATATAAAACAAATAAAGGATACATTTGGAATTATAAAAAGAAGCAAGGGCAAAAGAGTAATTTTCTTTCCTATATTTAATTTGCCGCAGATGAAGTGCAGCGCCAAATATGGCGCTACACGGTTCATTATCGCCATTTTTTTTTGCGTAATGGCGCGATGCAGGGATACCTTGGAGAGAGAAATTTGGTGGGATGGTGTTTTGACGTGAAAATATGAGGCACGTTGGAGATGCTCTTAGAGGAGCTCTAGAGATAACTCATCTACTGTTTGCAGATGGTTGTTTTCTTTTTTTGAAAAGTAAACTCCTTGGAAGTGAGAATTATGAAGGAAATCCTTGCTGAATTTTTCGCAGCCTCTGGACAATCTATTAATTTCACCAAATCCTCTATCTTCTTCAGCAGAAATCTGGACATTGGACCCAAGTTCCTATTCAGTTAAGAGCAGCTACAGAATATTGAGAGGAGAGTTTGATGCTAACAGCAGCTTACACTGGACCCAAGTTTAGAGAATGGCCATGTCCTTCTGCATATTGACTTTGACTGCCCTTCTGCATATTCACTTTGACTTTGACTTCTAAGCTTCAACATCCAAAGAGGAGAAAGAAAGAAAGCTAACATAATCATATTGCAAGGCCAAAACTTGTTCCAAACACCTTTTATACGCACACCTAAGCCAAATAGCCAATCCTCCATCTTTCTAATCACTCAATTGTCAACCAACCCTCAACATAATCATATTGCAAAGCCGCCAAAACTTGTTCCAAACACCTTATATATATGCACACCGATTTTGATGACTGATGGATTTCATAGATCTAACTTGATTAAAACATATGGCACATACATGTTTGCCCAGATTTCTTGAGTTATCATTAGATACAGGCATCAAAAAAGTTGTGAAACATGATCCTAAAACACTAGTAGTACGTCTATTTATTTTTTGAACTTGACTTTCTGGTAGAAGAACCATAACATCAACTGCCCTTCTGTACATTGTCTTTGACTTCCAAAGAGGAGATCAGAAAGAAAGAAAAACCAGAGAACACCTACAAGCCAAGCCTAATAGCCAATCCCAACTTCCTAAATTAAATCCTAATCACTCAATTGAAAACCAAATTAAACCTCAACATTGATGTTTACATAATAGAGCACTCTGGTTGTTGATCTTGAACTGGGTAAGCATGGTATTGGTAAGGAGCTGCATAATGATACGAAGCTGAAGGGTCATAAGTGATTGTCACTGTTTGTGGTTTTGGGGTTTCGTCTTTTTTCACTTCCTTTTTATCCTCTTTTTTCTCAGCGGAGGCGACGCTTAGAAGCTCCGCCTGCCCCAACCTCTTCCTCAGCTGGCTGGCCAGAGCCACCGCGTCCACGTCGCCCACCACCTCTAACTGCCCCTTCTCTGCCTGAATAGAGGCGGAATCGACTCCTGCAACATAACCAAAACTTCCCATTATTAATTAGGTCGAAAATTAAATTCAGATTGAATTTAATCAATATAATATTGGCCAGGAAATTGAATAATGATATATGGGTGGATGGGTACCTGAGAGGCTGACAGCAATCTTGAAGGCCTTGGTACGAGCTTTCTGGTCCTTCATAGAGATGCCAATCACTATCTTTTGCTGCAAATTAACAAACCACAAAACGTTATCAAACCATTAACTCAAGCACCTAAATTTCATGTCAAAAATAATAAAATATATTCAAGATGAGATCATATATATATACCTTCCCCATTGTTTTTGCAGGGTAGAAAGATAAAGTGGAGAAGATGGGATAAGGAATTAGAGAGAGAAAGATCTGGAAGTGTTGGTTTAAGGATGTTTATGGGTTAGTAGGTTGAGTCTCACTTTAAATTGGCAGCTGTATTTATAGGGAGAAGAAGAAGGGAAATGGTACTAGTGAATAGTGATGGACGCGCAAATACAGAGGAATGTTCTTATCCGTACAAAAGTCCAACTTTCCAGTCTCCAAGAAGAATAGTAAGCCAGTCAACTGGCTACTAGTCTTCTTTTTTTTTTTTTTTTTTTGAACACTTTCTGGCTATTAATCTTTTTTTTTTATAACACTTTCTGGTCCCTCGACTATAACTAAATTTACAAATTGGTCATTGACTTTTAATTTCAACCAATAGATTGCGGTCAACAAACGGTCAAATAGATGGAGGACCAAATCGTGTCAAAATTGTAAAGTTAAGGACTTAATTGGTTGAAATTGAAAGTCGAGGATCAATTTGTGAATTTAACTATAGTCAATGGACCGTTTTGGGTATTTACTCTCTTAACAACCTAAAAATTACTCCGTATTAATTACTTGGATTATCTGTTCACATTTCACGGGTATTAGTATTAAATTAAGAAAAAGTTTTACAATAATTAAACCTAAAATTTATTAAGTACATGGCATTGCATTAAGTATTATTTTAGCCCGCGTGTGCTTAACTCACTGCTTCAGTATGTAGTATATATTTGGGAGAAGAAACTAAGGTCCGAACCTCGACAACGGCAGTGTGAGATTATGTCTAAAGTGGACAGATTTTTTGTGTGTACCGACATTTAGCCCTGTCTCTTGAGTCATTGAGTCACCGTGATTTATATCTTGGGCTACAGTGTGGGGACCCTTGGGGTTGGCGATTCAACCTTTTGGGAGAAGTATTGCATTATTTTATTTTGGTATCCCATACTAAAAAGTTAGTAGTTAGAAGTTGAAAGTTAATAGTTATAGATCACTCGTTTTGTCGTCAGAATCATAGTAACTGACTATTGTAGGTGAATAATTAATTTTGGTGGGTCTATGCATGAAAATAAACATATTAATGTTTTTAATTATAACTTTTAAAAGTTTATGACTTAATTGACTTTTTATATAAAATTCATGGACTTATTTATACTTTTTTTTCCCTTAGTAATAAATTTGTTTTTCAATCTTATCATACCCGCTGGTCGATTTCATGTTACTATTTACATCACTAGCTAACAACTTGTTCCAACACTATATGGGGAGCATTGGAGCTAAAAGAACTCATTTTAATAAAAAAAGTGAAAATGATTTTAAATTTTATTTAAACGATTAAGTGAGTAATATGTTGGTTATATAAGTTGAACTCATATAACTTTCATATTAACTTTATTTCTCACTTCGCTTTTCCAAGAAAGATTGGTCCTTGCTGGTACAACAATTATTTGCTTGACTAGACCAAGTCAAACCATTCTGTTGATTCAAATCCCTACTACGTTGTTTGTTGTGCAATAAAAATTAAAATGTTGTATTTGGAAACTGTGGTCTGCACTAAAATATTACTGTTGTTTAATTTTTAATAAACCATGTTGACGATATAAATTTTCATAGATGTTATAATTTCATTATGACAGTTAAGATTTACTTATTCGTTTTTGGTTCAATCAAATTAACTTCATGGGTATACTCATCATTTCGTAATCGTTTTTTTTTTTTTTAGTTAGCCTCCTAGGCGTTGCTTAAGTTGTCTAAGCGCTAGGCGCTAATCTACCGCCCTACTAGCGTCTAGCGACTAGCGGCTACTGCAATCATGCTTGTAAACACAAAAAAGTAAACTTTGTATATATTCACAAAATTCCTTGTACAGTGTGTGTATAATTCAATGCAGGTACAAAATCTCTGTCTAGTCCTCTGATTCTTCACTGACGTTATCTATGGAAGTGCCTCCGGGATTCAATTGGCGCGTGCCTCCCGGATTCAAGTGGCGTAGCTTCTGAGATTCAAGTGGTGTAACTTCCAACAACGAGCGTCAAGAATTTAGAAGTAATCAACCCTGCAAAGTTTCAAAACACATGCAATGGATTCAAGCTGCTTTAAGATCCTCAAATGCCTTCAAAAGACTTCAAGATCTTCGAGACAATCGATTCTGCAAAGCTCCAAAGTACCTGCAATGGACTCAAATTGCCTGCAAAATCAACAAAAATGCATTCAAATCCTTCAAGCTCTTCAAATGCTCTCAACTCCTCAAGTCTTCAAGTTGCTCAATGCCTTCAAGCTCTCAAGCCTTCAAGTTGTTCAAGCTTTCAAGTTCTTCAAGCTTTTCAAGTGTCTTTAAGCTTTCAAGTGTGTTTTGGAATGAAAATGGAGGCTCTATTTATACTAGAAGCCTAATCAACATTCCTCAACAAACTCCCCCTTTAATTAATTAATTAATTAATTAATTAATTATTCTAGAAAATGAACATTGCCCAGAATCAAGTCTAGGTTCATTATTATATAATCTAATTCAAATTCAAATTAAATTATAATTATCTAATTCAAATATAATAAAATTAATATTATATTTAAATTATAATTATAATTTATAATTCAAATTCAAATATGAAATGGGCTTGGGCCAATTAATTAATTAATTCAATAGCCCAAATCAAATTTTAATTGGACTAATCAAATTAAATTAATCTATATGATCCAATTAATTAAATTGGCCCAATAATCAATCTCGGTGTCGGTCCAATAACCATTTATCAGTCCATTTGTTGGGTTCAAATTTTCTGTGTCTACAAATTGCCCCCTCGAGACTTGCCGGGACATGTCGCTTAATGTGCTTGGAGTGAGAAAGTCTTGAAACTTAACAAAACGGTCCCTTAAATTCATCGTGGTGCATCTATCTCCACGGGTCCAAATGTATGTGCGGATATTTCGCGAACACAAATCAAAAAATTAAATTGCCACAAAACGAGCCCGATTATAAACTTGAATATTCCATGAGCCAAAATAGTACATTACGTGGGCCCAAACATATTCATTGAGCCCAAAATTATTTTAGGATGAAGTTGGTGTAGCAACACTCCATGATCCCAAAGGTAAGAAGCTATACAACGTCCATTGACCAATTTAAAATTCTAAGCCCATCAACAAACTTAAGTCAAGTTCAAAGTCACGGTGCTGCACGTGAATTCTAACTCAAGCCAAGCTAACACCATGATTTCAGCGGTATAACTGAGTAATTGACTCCTATTGTTGGGAAATTTTATCTGATTGTAGAATCCAACTCCAATCACAACTCCCTTACGATGAACTATAAATAAGAGCCTCATCACACTTTTAAACTCACACCAATATCGCAAACAGAGAAGCGAGGAGGAGCAATCCAAGGTCCGACTATCTAATCGTGCAAAACTTTATATTTCATCTTCCCTATATGCATTTTTATTTACAGGAACAAGAAGAGGGGAATGCCAGAAACAACCGTGCACCATGAAAGGATAGTTGCCCATCTCGTAGGACAGCCGCCGTTGAACCGCCTCAAGGAAACTTGTCAATCTCATGGAACAACAAGCATCGTGAAATCTCTTCGTAGATTTTTTTTTTTTTTTTTTTTTTTTTTTTTTTTTTTTTTTTGCAGAAGTCACCGGAGATCACCAGGTCGTTGAGACTGCCAGAGGTAGATGGGAGCCGGAATCCATTCTTCGTCATTAAAGCCACCGAAACCGCCCAGCCTTTCGCCGGAGAACGACGTTGTTGGAGGATTCATCGCTGAGCTCTGTTTCTGGGTCTGTCTGTTGCATGTCGTCGGAGATCGCCGCTGCTAGAGGGTTATCGCGGAGCTTTGTTTCTGTCTTTTGCAGGTCACCGGAGATAGCCGCTGCTGGAGGGTTATTGCAGAGCTCTGTTTCTGTCTTTTGCAGGTCGCCGGAGATCGCCGCTGCTGGAGGGTCGCCGGAATTGCCCGCCGGAGATTTTTTTGTTTTTGTAGAAGTCGCCGCTCACCCACCAACGCTGCTGCCGGAGGATCGCAAAAGTCACCACTCACCAGAAACTACCGGAGCTGATACGTCTACTAGAAGTTAACCGGAGCCGGCTGATGGGTGTAGCTGGAGATTAGCGCTGCCGGAAGTGGATCGTCGCACCACCGCCGTTGCCGCTTACCGGAGTTCGCTACCGGAGATAGATTGGAGCTTGTCACTGGAGCCTTGTTTTCTAGTTTTTTTTTATGCCACAGGAAACTGATGCTGCGAGACCAGGAACCTGGATGTTGATCTTCGCTACTGCCGGATGCCGATCGTCGCCGTTGCCGGAGTTGCCGAAGTTCGCTACCCCGCTCTGTTCTTCGCAGAAGTCGCCGGAGGATTTTTTTGTTTTTGTTTTTTTAAGAGGTTACTGGACTGCTGCCCGCCGGAGTTCTTCACAGAATTCGCCGGTCGTAAATCGCAGCTGTTGGAGATTTCTACCGTGTCGCAAACCGTCGAAGCCCGTTGCCAACGCTGCTTCCAGAGGTTCTTCGCAAAAGTCAGTCACCACTCATCAGAGACTACCGGAGCTGCTGCGTCTACTGGAAGTTAACTGGATCCGGCTGATGGGTGTAGCTGGAGATTGGCGCTGCTGGAAGTGGATCGTCGCACCACCGTCATTGTCGCGTACCGCATCGCAAACCGTCGAAGCTAGTCGGCTTTGGATCGCCGCCGCATAGCTCTGTTTCTCTATTGTTGTTGGTGCAGGATCGCTGCCTGGAGTTAATCTTCCCACCGTCGAAAGCATTGCCAAGCTCGGTTCTCTTCCGTCGTCGTAGCTGGAAACGGACTGAAGTCCCCTGTTGGAGCTTCACTTCTCGACCGTCGACACTGCTGCATAGCCTAAGCGAAGATGGAGGTGCAAACGAGAATTGGTGTTGGTGAAGACTTGCAAAGTGGAGAGTGGGATGGATTGAATTAAATGGTGATGGATCGGATGGTGACAACACAGCTGCAACCCCCTCCACCTGTCACCTTTCCGTCTTTTCCTTCTGTCGTTCTTTCCCTTCTTCTTTTATATTTTCTTCCTTCTTTGCTTTCTGTTTCGTATTCCACTTTTTTTATTTGCTTTTTGCGTTTTTTTTTGTTTCTTTTTTTGATATTTTAAT